CCCCCTCCCCGGCCATTGCCCTCAGCCACCTCCCTCGCCCCCGACCGCCCCACCGGGCCGAGTCTTTTCCTGTCAGATGTCTAATACCCAGCAAGACACTCCGGCCGTGCTCTCTGTGCGCTTCGCCTCTTTCTCCACCCATTTCTCCTTGGCATCTGTGTTGTCCCTAGCTCTCCTATCTATCCCTCCCCTGTCTCTTTTTTGTCCACTCCCTCCCCCCCCCCTCCCACTCTACACTGCCCTTCTTCCCTGACTTTCTGTTCCGCCACCATGCAGACCGATGCCTCATTGATTATGCAAGCCGAATTCGCGAACCCCTCCACCAAAAGTATGTTGCCGATTTTGCTGTTGACCAGCCGCCGATCACCGTCAACCGCAATATTCTGACCCCGTCTTCAGTGTCCCGCGAGGCAACGCTCCTTGTCGGCGAATACTTGCGCCTGCTGGTGGTCGGTGCGTCACACATGTTGCTTTCCCCGCGCCCGGAGGGTATCCACAGTCCAGGCATATTCCACACACACACACACACACACACACACTGACCCGGCGTTTGGCACAGAGGCTTATCGCAGATCGCACGCCACCGCTCAAGCTGAGGGAGCCGACACAATTGCCCTTGCGCATCTGGAGCAGAATCTTCCCCAACTCCTCCTGGACTTTTAGGCACCTTCCAAAAATAGATCAAGTAAGACAAGAGGAGGCTCCAGCATATGGTGCATGTTCGCGAAGAGGAGGACAAGGGGGAGGGAGGGGGGGAGGGGGGAAGAAGAAGAAAAAGCAAGGAGCCGGCCAGGGGAAGGTATCCATGCGGAGAGGCCGACGTCTGGCCCTCCCCCCTCGCTTCCCACTTGCCTAGGCGCCAATTAGTAGCCCTGCTCCGGCTTGATCGAATGCTGGTGGTAGTCGGGGAAACCACCCACCTCTGGGTGCCCAGCACCCGAGGCCCCAGGCGCGGTCAGTGACCCAAGCTCATCCATACGGTCGTGATCACCGGCGGTCTGCTGCTTGGAGCGCTCGATCAGAATGGCAATCTCCTCACGCTTGTCATTGTCAAGCTTGGTCTTGATACTGTACCAGGGGGAAAGAGAGAGAGAGAGAGAGAGAGAAAGAAAGACGGCAGAGCCCGGCACCGGGGGAAGTCAAAGCAAAGAGCGGACGAGGACGGGGAGAGGAGGGGGGGGGGGAGAGACTGAGTAAGTGGCTTGGTCACCTGGCGAAAGGACCGGCGCCGTGCTTGCTATCTTTGCGTCTGGCCAGCGCCGACCGACGCACCTCGGAATCAGGGCATCCATCTCCTCGCGATCCTCAGGCAGAAGGTTGCAGATTTGCGACATCTCGTACGAGGTCAGCTGCTTGCTCATGAGAGCTTCGCGCTGCTCCTCGGTGAGATCGGCAGCCGCGTCATCGACATCGCCACAGGCGCCGACCACCGCGGCAGTGATGTCCTGATCGGCCACCACGGACTCGATGGATGCCCGCAACACGCGCTCCTGGTTGACATCCATCAGGACAAACTGCCGGGCATACGCCAGCGTCTCATCAAACACTTGGCTCAGCCGGGGGGTGTCCAGGCTGGCCTGCATGCCGGAACGGTTTTCCGACTGCGCCTTCAGATGCTCGGACTCGATGGTCTCCATGTGGTGCAGGACCTCGGCCAGGGTGAGAAACTTGGCATCGTCGAACTCTGTGGCGTGGTTTCGGGCAGGTTAGGAAGGGACGG